GAGAAGATTAACCTTTAACATGATCATTTACATCTAATGTTATCACATTTTACAATGTCATTGACACCACTTTAACCTTTGCTAGCTGGTTTTGCTAACCATATTGTAAAACTACTTTTCCCAACAACAGTAAAGAAAGATTCTGTTGCTTTCCTCATTCTCTTTTTGTTTTGGTGCAGTGCTTTGCAATAGAACTTTCTGTGATGGTTGAAATGTTCTGTATAATCATTGTTCAGTACAGGAGCCACTAGACAGATGTGGCTTATTTAGCATTTGGAATGTGGCTAGTGGAACTGTTGAGTTGAATTTAAAGTTTTATTTCCTTCAATTAATGTAAATTTAAATGTGACTTCATGTTGCTAGTGGCTACCATTTTGGAAGCATAGCTTTAGTGTTCTTTTCAGAAAAGTCAGACTGGACTCTTCATCTTCTTTCATTGTAGTTGTGTGCTGTTGACTCAATTCCGACTCACAGTGACCCTGTAGGACAGAGTAGAACTGCTTCCTTGGTTGCCTAGGCTGTAATCTCTATGGGAGCAGATTGCCAGGTCTTCCTGTTCTTCTTAAAAAAAAAAAAAAAAAAGCCCCACTGCCACTGAATCAATTCCAACTCATAATGCCCCTGTAGGACAGGGTAGAAATGCCCCAAAGGGTTTCCAAGACTATAGATCTTTACAGAAGCAGACTGTTTCATACTTCTCCTATAGAGCTGCTGGTGAATTCAAACTGCTGACCTTTTGGTTAGCAGCCAAATGCTTTAATCACTGTATCACCAGAGCACAATTCCTAGTCTTCTATTAGGATTTATCCCCTTTCTGGGAGAAAGAGTAATTCCGTTTAATGCTACCAGCTATTCTTGCACTAATTAAAGGTATTTACTTTCATTATGACCTAATTTGTAATCTGTGGGTTTTTCCATAAACCAAAAAAGATTATATTCTTAGAATATCAAATCAGACCCTTAATCCTTTGCTGTCTTTACTCAGGAGGGGAAAACAAAAATCCTCTGCCTGCTGTTGAATTGACCCTGACTGACAGTGGCCCTCTGTGTCTGCGTGGACCTCTGCTCTACACAGCTGTCAGTGTCTGAATTTTGGCAAGGAGATCACCAGGCTTTTCTTACAAGGTGCCTGTCTCTGGTGGACTCCAATTTGCAACCAGTTGGTTAGGATATTTTTACCTCCCTTCATTTGAATTATTTTATTCTTTAGTAGATGTACTTTCCAAATATATCTTTCCTTGCTTACAAATATATCTGGATGGTTTCTTTGTACCCTTCTAAATGCTCCTCAAGATGGAAACGGTGTCATAGAAAGAGTGTGGACTTGGCTCAGGTTTCAAATTCTCACCATGGCATCCTGAACAAGTTTCTTGCTTTTCTGTACCATTGTGATTCCCTCATAGCACTGTTGTCAGGCTTTCTGTCTTAGAGTGTGTTTGGTTTACTTGTCTTTTCTCTGGACTTGATGCTGCAGCTATTGATATTGTGTGTTTCTATCTCTGCAGCAGGGCGGTGCCCGGTGTCAGAATGTCTGTACTGAATACTTGAAAACTGTATTTTAACAAGTGTAACACTCCCCCTGCACACACACACAGACCCCGTTTCTTTTGTTTTTCATTTCTGTGCACTGGGAGAAGCAATGATAACTAGTTTGAAGAAACATTTTTCCTGAAAGGTAGAGGCTCTTGGTGATTTAAAATAGACAGTAATACATTTTCCTTCACAGTTCAATTTTTACTATATTTAAATGATGAGATACCATTTTTATGGGTCTTTATCTTCTAACAAGTTTTTGCATTACATTTTTTTTATTTTTAATGACATCGTTTAAGAAAATATTTAGAGAGTTGTAGAAGAAATGAGTCTATCTAAATGGGGTAACTTGTATAAAGCATACTTTGTAGTAGGCATTATCCTAATCCATATATTGAAAATATCTGTGGCTCTGCACATGTTAAGTACCCAAATAATGAACTAGGACAGTTGAGAAATTAAGGTGATAAGTCATGTTAATCTGAGGTCCCACAGGGAATTAGATAAATAAATATTTTAAGTGAAGATCCTGACACCATGACTGATAACTGGTTATTTATTTATAGTCTTGGGGAATTTTAAGCTTTAAAATGTTTATAGTAAAATTGAAAAAGTACAACTACACCTCACACAAATTTAAAGTTTCTTCTTAAAAAGCATGCAACCCATTGCCCAAGAAAACGCTTTCATCTTGCAAGATGAAAGAATTAAATTGAAACTAGAACACTGAAGGCTACTACGGAAGCATGCATTCATTCGGGCATATGGTTGTAATCCACTGAACTCATAGTTACAATGCATTGGAGAATAACCATAGCAGAATAGCCAGGCAAAGATTCTGCCAGATCAGCTTGCTTTTTGTTACAGGAAAAGAAAGACACAGAGGGACATATACACCCATGTTATCTTTTTGATCTCAAAGTCACTTTAGCTTCTCTCTTAAAAACAATTGCTTTCATCTTTATGCTGTTGTTGTTATGTGCTATTGAATTGGCCAACTCATAGCGACCCTTCCTTGGGTTTCCTTCCGAGGTGTTATCACTATGGAAGTAGATTGCCCAACCTTCCTTCCAAGGAGTGGCTGGTAGGTTTGAACTGCCAGCCTTCTGGTTAGCAGTCAAGTGCCTTAGGCACTATGCTACCAGAGCTCCTTTTCATCTTTATAGACAGTGCTTAAGGTGCTGACTTCTTCAAGATACTTGTACTTTTTATGCTTTAAATTTAAACAATCAGTTTCATTATTCCTGTGAAGTCAAAAGATAACTGCATTGGAAAGGACATTTGCACGCTCTTAAGCACAAAAAGTGTGTGTAACTGGATGTCAAAGAATGTAACATGTGGTTATTTGTTGATTAAAGAGTTAAATTACAAATATTGAAGAAACAGGATCCAGAAATCTGAAACTCAAGGTCAGGGCATGTGCATAAGTGTTTTGCACACAGAGACACCAGGTACTTCTTGATTGAGAACCCCTGATGGCCAGCTGTCATTGTCTTTTGTATTTGGACATATTGGGAAGAACTTGGAACAGCTCAGTTAGATGTATTTGCTCAAAATGATTCATAATTGCAGACCAGAGGGGATTTCCAGTTAATATCATTGAAATTATTTAGTTTTGCTCTATGACAAGTGAAATTATTGTTTATCAGAGAAAGGTAATTACATGTTTGGCCTAAAATCAATCAATATGAACACAGAAGAGTTAGAGCTTGAGCAGAATCAGGACCTTGTTAAAGCGTAATTTTGTAAAGTGAGGTTGGTCAGAGCATGTGGGGAGCCAGCAGATCCAATCATAAGTTCAAGGAAATCACATGAGTTTTGTGATCACACAGTTCTCAGAGAATTGAAACGTGCATTGAATTTCTTTCTGTATTTACACATTATTTGGTTCCTAGCTTTTTTGAATAAGACATAGAAATTTAGTGTTGGAATAGTTGATTTTGTTAGGTCACCAGCAATCAAACCATAAATAGGTTGCAGAATAATCGACCCTTTGTATGTGACTGTGAATGCTGGTGAGTTTTTTTTTAAGTATGAAGAGCTCCAATTTCTTTTTTAGCCAAAATGTTGGATAATAGATTCTAGTGATTATTTTATAAATTAGAGATGAACAGATTTATTGTTGTTCTTCTGAAAACATTTTGAACTTTTGAGCTACAACCTGATATTATTGAATTTATATTTCTAGGAGTACCATCTAATGTGATCGGTCAGAGAATAATTGTTCAAATCAACTACGGGCGACTTCTCAGCATTGAGACAACAGCTTAAGTAGTTCAGGTGTTCAGAGAGGAAATCACTGGTATGTCTCAGAGGAAGTGGAGGCTTGCCTGGTTAGGGAAATCATAGTCTCTTATCTCTGAGTAAAGGCGCAGATTTTGTTGAGGTAGAGTTTTAATGTCAGTGTCAGTGTGAGAGTTGTAGCCTGGAGTCTCTGGAATTCTTTATGTCTGATCTCTCTTTTCACATTAAGCCTACATACAGGATTGAAGCCAGATAACTGGGTTATCTCCAGGGCTCTAGCAAGAACCACTAGCAAATTTGTGCTTTTATTGACATATGTATTCTCAGGGACTTTTGCTTTGATGGAATATTTAACCCCATAAAAATGTATTTCTTCAACACAATTCCCTGATGATAATGTTCATTGTTTAAGAATCTTGGAAGATAATTTTCTATGCTAAAAACAGAACAGAGAGATCATCTTAAATTCCTGGTATAAAGTACTGGAATCAGGGATTCGGCTCAGTAGTTCATTAGTCATAATGAACATTTGTAGCTGGATATCAGTCAACCTGAAGCCAAGCGGTATTCTGTTTAAGCAATGCCTTATTCTTTTCCAACTGTTTGAGATAATTGTAGGTGAAGTTTTGCTTTTAATAATTTGTTTATAAGAGAAATCAAGACATTAGTCATTTCTTTTCCTAACAAATTGGTTTTTTAGAAAAATAAGCCCGTTGTAAATTTCAAGTAGCACAAACATATAGAAGTTGAGTACTTGCTGTGTTTTCAGTGGTAACCACATCTGGTATGTACCTTTCTAAGTATTTGCATATAATTTCTTTTTTTTTAATATCCTTCTCACCATGCATATAGGTGGAATAAGAAAAAAATATTTGGATATGCATGTATACTGAGCATAAGCTACTGAATCCTGTTTTTACAATTTTATATCATGGCCACCCTTCTTGAAAGTCTCAGATACATGCCTGTGTGGTATATGGGGTGTACATTTTAAAGTGTGATAGATACTAACAGTATGTCCTCTCATTCTTTCAGTATTATAGCTTATTTAAAAGTAACTTTTTCTTATAGGAAATCTTTTTTTCTTTTTTTTTTTCTCCAAGGGTAGCATCTTTATTGGATGTGAACATTTGTTGACTGTACGATACTAGACTAAAGGAAGGTATACAGTTTTGTGCGTATACATCAAACTTCTTACTGGTATTTACATTCTCTCTCAACAGGGCCCATTTGGAGGCCAGTGCTGAGAAGTGGAACAGGCTGCTGACATCTTTAGAAGAACTAATCAAATGGCTGAATATGAAGGATGAAGAGCTTAAGAAGCAAATGCCCATTGGGGGTGATGTCCCAGCTTTACAGCTCCAATATGACCATTGTAAAGTAAGTTGACCACATATGGTAGGTGTCTTTCTTTTCTTTTTTTTGCATTTGATTTTGGTGAAATAAATACTCTGAAATAAAATCCTAAGTAAGTATCGAAATTCAATCAATTACCACAGGTCTCCTTTTTCCTTTTTTTTTCCTTCCTCCTCTTAATTGTGAGTACTTAGACACTTTATTTAAATTGTAGGCATTACTTCCATTTTTGTCAGGTTAGGTTATCTCTTCATATTTAACTAAGCTTTCCCAAATTTTAAATAAGGTAGCCAAAGCATACAATTACGTCTAACTTGTAAAATTTTTCTAACTTTCCAATAGATTTTAATATATTAATATATTGGGAAGTTTCTCTCTTTCTCTTTTTTTTTTTAACTACAAGTTAATGTCATCTTAAATAGGGAGTCATAGATCATAAAAAATTATTAGCTCTCTTGTTTATAGTAGATGATTATGAAAAAATAAGGAATTGTGGTAGTAAGAAAATAGAATACAATTAAGTCTTAAAGCAAAAGAAAATCATTGTATTTCAGATCATTTCATATGTTTTATTTTTGGAACTTAAACTTTCTTGAATTACATTTTTGACTCTGCTCAAATTCCTTTTTATATGAATTGGTATCTTTACTCTAATAAGCAAAGAAACATACTGAGGTATTATTTGCTGACACTTAGATCTTTGTACAATCTAACTTCTTTGCTTAATTTACTTCCCATTCATTTACCCTTCAGACCTATTTTCTTGTACATTACATATCAGCTTGTTTGTTTGAGTTTACTCTTCACATGCAGTGCAAGTTCTCATTCTAAAGCTGTGCATTTTAATGTGATACTAGAATTCTGTTCCCATTAAAAAAATGACAAATGTGCATGCATTCTTCTAAAGAAAGATAACATCCATATAATAAGTTGCTATCTTGCAAAATGGTAAGTTCTGAAATATATTTTGTTTTGAACTTTTGTGACTAAGTTATTAAAAAGTACCAGTTGGGTCAGTTTTCTCTTTCTACTTAAAAAGAGAGTGTGGGTCAGTTTTCATTCAGTTTTTTTTTTTTCATTTTCTGCTTAAAAAGAGAGTGTGATAGAGATATAGCTAAGATTAGACAGAGAAATAGCTATAAGATGAAGTGTGTTAGTGAATGTTCTGTGTGTGTGTGTTTATGTATAGATATAGTAGAAATAGCAGGTTTAAAATCACTTATTTTAGAAAGTTACATTTTTCTCCTTACTTTTGTTTCAGTTTTCCTCTATTAATTATTCATATGCCCTTTTTTAATAGATTGAGTTTTTAGTGTTGGAAGAGAATAACATAAAGCTTCTTTTTAATATAAGTCCTTTAGGAATAAAATGTACTTATGGCTCCTGGCTTTGATTAAAACCCAAGACTTCAGGTGTGAAGGGGTTTTCCAGTTTGGCCTTTGCAAGTCCAGTACATACCAGCCTTTCCAGTCAGCCCTGCCTGTTTTCTCTCTCCCTCCCAGCAAGTCACCTGCTCTAGGTTGTGTTATAGTGTATTTTAGAGCACAGCTGCTTTGCTCCAACCCTTTGTGCCCAGGTATTTAGGTAATAAGGGCAATAAGGATAATGATTCTGGTAATAATATGGTTTATTCATTCACCAAGTGTTTATTGAGTGCCTACAGGAGTCCTCGTAGCCACACTGTAGGACAGACTAGAACTGCCCCATGGGCAGTAAAGCTTTATGGAAACTGATTGCCTCATCCTTCTCCTGTGGGGCAGCTGGAGGGTTTGAACTGCTAACCTTTTTTTTGATTGGCAGCCAAATGCTTTAACCACTGTGCCACCAGAGCTCTGTCCTGTCGTGTTGCTATGAATCAGAATCAACTCAGGACAGTGGGTTTAGTTCCTCAAGTAAAGGAGTTCTGGTGACAAAAGTGGTTAAAAGCTTGGCTGCTAACCAAATGGTTGGTGGTTCAAACCCACCCAGTGGCTCCAGAGCAGAAAGATCTGGTGATTTGTCCGCATAAGTACTACAGCCTAGAAGATCCTAATGGGCAGTTCTACTCTGTCACATGGGTTCACTGTCAGTCTAAATCAACTGGATGACATGCAGCAACTACAGCAAATATGTACCAGTCACTGTTAAACCAATAATTAACAAAAGACACTTGTTGCTTTTTTTCCTAGTCATAAAAGACAGGCATTAGATACACAGACAACAAATAAAGAATATACCCCATGATTATGAGTGCCACAAAAATGATAAAACAAGGTCAGGAAGAGAGAGAGGAATGGGAAAATATAGGCAAAGGTGCTAGTTGATGTGGAGAAGATGAGAAAGTGGCATAAATGGGGAGATTTTGAACAGAAACTTGAAGTATCAGGGTAAGCAATGCTGATTATTGGGGGAAGAAACTTTAGGACAAGGAAACAGCAAACACAAAGTCCATGGAGATGCAGTGTTCTTGGCATATTTGAGGAGTAGAATGGATGAAGTAGTTTAGCTAAATTGAGACGGGTAGGAGATGATGTTAAACAGGTTGGATGGGTAAAGGGGTGGATGGTAAAGTCAGATCACATAGGTGCTTTAAAGTCCTTTGTAAGGACCTTAGCTTGTACTCTGAGTGTGATGGGAGCTCTGGTAGCATAGTGCCTAAGGCATTTGACTGCTAACCAGAAGGCTGGAGGTTCAAACCCACCAGTCACACCTCAGAAGGAAGGTTGGGCAACCTACTTTTGTAGAGGTACCGCCTTGGAAACCCAAAGAGGGGTCACTATGAGTCAGAATCGACTTGATGGCAGTGAGTTTGGTTTTTTGGTTTTCTGAGTGTGATGGGAAGGCATGGAAGATTTTGTGGACTATAGTGATGTGATCTGACTGACAATCTATAGTAATTACTCATTAAATTATGAACAATAGAATATAGGGAAGTTCAGGAATATATTTCACTTAACCGAGGCAGGGGGGGTGGTAAGTTGGCTAAGGTCATGGCAGGAGAGATAATATGGAGTAAATTGCTTCTGTATGTACCTCAGAAGGAGAGCCAACTGGATTTGCTGATGGATTGGATAGGTAGTGTGTGAGAGAAAGAGAGGAATCAAGGATGTCAAGAATCAAAGGTTTGGAAGGAGCAAATGGGAGAATGGAAGTCCCATTTAGAGAGATGGGGAAAAGTGCTGGAGGAACAACGTAGGGAGGAAATTGAAGAGTTTGGTTTTGAAATTCAAGAGTTATGGTAGTTGGAAATACAAGTCTGAAGTTAGGGGAAAGGTTGTGGTAGAGATAAAAATTCTCATGTAGATAGTAGTTGAGGCCACAGGATTAAATAAGATCACCTAAATAGTGATTATAGTTAGGAAAAAAAAAAGAAGAAGAATTTCAAGAAATTAGTCTTGAGTCATCCCAATTTAAGATGTTGGGAAGATGAGGACAAACAGAGAAACAGAACTGAGAAGGTAGAGCTGAAGAGGAAGAACCAAAGGAGAACAAAGACTAGGACACCAAGGGAGCAACACTTCCTGAAAGAGAGAGTATTCTCAGTGATGGAGTGCCACACCACTGAAAGGTTGAATAAGATGAGGACAGACCGTCTAAGAATGATTTTTGTTAATCTTGACAAGAGTCATTTCAGTGGAGTGGTGAAGTTGAAAGCCTCATTGGATTGGATTCAAGAGAGAAGATGAGAAGTATAAAGAACTGTGTCTATTAGGAGTTTTTCAACAAAAAGAGAAATGCGACAGTTGCCGGAGGAGGAACGAATGTGTGAAATAATTCAGCATGTTTCTATGTTGATGGGAATGATCCCACGAAGGGAGAAACATCAGTGATGCAGGAGAGAGGGTACTAGGTAGGAAAAGTATCATTGCGGAGGTGTGAGAGGGCGGGTTCCAGTACATAAGTGGAAGGGTTGGTCTTAGTTTAGGAGGTCAATGAATTCGTCCATTTTAACAGGAGGAGATATGAAGTATATGGACTATATATGTAGGTAGGTTGGTAGATTTGCATGTAGGAGCATGTAAATGTTCTTTTTATTATTATTACCTCTTATTTTATCAATGAAATAAGAAGCAAGGTCATAAACTAAATATGAGAAGGGGGAAAGAGGCATGGAGGTTTGAGGAGAAAATAAAATGTCATGCCAAAGTGAAGAGTTAATAAGCTAGGAATATATATTAAGAGGGAGCTCTGGTAGTGTAGTGCTTAAGGCACTTGACTGCTAACCAGAAGGCTGGCCATTCAAACCCACCAACAACTCCACAGAAGGAAGATAGGGCAATCACTTCCATAGTGATACTGCCTTGGAAACCCAAGGAGTGGTCCCTATGAGTCGAGTCTGACTCGACAGCACATAACAACAACAACAATATATATTAAGAGTGCAGGACAGCTTTAAGAGACCTCTGAAGTCAGTGATCATGATCACCATGGAAGTAGATTGCCCAACCTTCCTTCTGAGGAGTGGCTGGTGGGTTTGAACCACCAGCCTTCTGGTTAGCAGTCAAGTCCTCAGGCACTATGCTACCAGAGCTCCTAAAGTGAGGACAGCCAATGTGAATGTTTTTCTTCAGCTGTACTTGCTTCATTGAAGGTGAAGGGTTAGTTGAAGAGTTGAATTTAACCAAGCAAATATGATGGAGGAAGAAGGTCAAGCAAGATAAGGGATTATACCAAAGGGGTTATGCTAATGACTGAATTTGAAATTTAATCTGGGTAAGGAGAAATGTGAGGACATAGAGGTATAGGGAACAGTAGTTCAGTGTTTGAGTCAATGAACTGGGACTTCATTGGGGCTGAGGAATTGTTGGAATTGGGAAACAAGGGGGAGTGAGTTGTAAAGAAAGCAAGGTGGTCAGGGAAGGGATGTTAGAAATTGAGTTTATGGAGGGGTGGACTTATTATTAATGACAGCAGTCCTTAGAAGAGGGGAGGTCAAGGACCTGAGAAGCCAGGGTGGTGGAAGGATCATCTACATGAATAATGGCGTGACCATGGACAGGGGAGAGAGCTGGATTTCAAAATAATGATTCTAGGGAAGGATGGTA